GGCCTCAAGAGGAAAGACTAAACTAACCGATGATTTGTATAGTTACAAGAGACACCACTTTCAACATAGTCACTCTGTGCAGTTGTATGTCATAGACTACTCACTGTCTAATCGTCCACTCACCTCTACTCCAATCAGTATCTGATATAATACACTATGGGCAGTCCCAGACGTGCTTCCATAAGGCCACTGCTCCTACAATCTCTTAGATATCATTAATGGAATCCAGTCCGGTGCCTTCTCAGTACAGTTCGTTTCTCCTGGACTTCATCGTTTGCTCAGCCAATTTGTTTCGCATTTCAGTGCCAAATTAGTTATTCCTGTGAAAATGGTGAGATAGTCCCCTGAGCAACGCTAGGGAATTTGCTCAGTGAATAGTTGGTGCATGCCTTTTTATTTGTCGATGCACATTGCTATGAAAGAAGTCTGTGAGTAGAAAATATATTCAGAGTATACAGTTTAAATTGTCTATTGCAGTGTGATTTCTTTTTCTTCTTCTTTTGCCTTTCTAGCCCCCTATGGAGCATAGGCCCTCAACCAACTCACGCCGAGTCATTCTATCTTTTGCTATCGCATGCAGCTTTCTCTATGTCTTCCCCATCTTTCTAACTTCATTCTCAAGCCCCATTCTCCGTGTGTTTTTTGACCTCCCTAATTGTTATGCCCCTAAGGATTTCAGTGCAACAATAATGTTTCATTCCCCCTACTACTTCCATTGATCTCCCTATACTGTACAGAGTTCTAAGATTCGAGGTGCCAACTCTGGAGGTTTTCCTAGGTGAGAGGAGGTACATTGACAGTCCAGACTTCTTTCGACTTTCTCCACACTGTGTCATACTTCTTCTGCTTGAAAAGCCTTCCCTAATCTTGGCTGGCTGGGTTTTACTCGCTTCTTTCTGTGACTTATCCATAGTTGGTTGGTTTCTGTGGCTTTTGTTTTACAGGATGAGGTAGCCAACCTCAAGCCCACCCCTACCCCTCGTCGCTCCTTACGACATGCCTGGTAGGGTGTGGTGTCACTATTCTTTGCTTCCATTCGATATATATATATCTCTGTGTGTGTGTGTGTACCAGCAAGCGTCTTTCCGGCTGGCGTAGGCGATCATGCCTCTCCACAGTCCGCGATCAGCAACAGCGTGTATCAGTTCGTGTGCTGACACCCTTCCTTGTCATAAAGTCTTCTCGCGCTGTCTTTCCTCTGTCTCTCTTTCCACAGATTTTTCCCAGTGGTGACATGTTCCAGTTTCCCTCTTTTCATAACATGAGCAAAAAAATGATGACTGTCTTCTTCTGATGTTTGTGAAAAGTTGTCTTTGAGCATTAGCGTCTCTCAAAACACGTCTCTGTCTCTCTCTCTCTGTCTCTCTCTCTCTCTCTCTCTCTCTCTCTCTCTCTCTCTCTCTCTCTCTCTCTCTCTCTGTATATATATATATATTCTCATTAGCAAACGATGACGTCCAAGATACACACATACACATATATGTATATGCATATATATATATATATAT